CTGCAATATTAACTGCACTTGCTATAGCAAGAATCCACATGAAATACCTGCCTGAAATCTCGATTTTTACTGCTATTGCTATCACCTCTCTGAAATACAGCGTGTACAAGCATGTCCAACTGGCAGTCACAGGAGACAGAGCTACAAGCTGGCTTAAAGTTGGTAACTTGAACGGCTTTCGATGTCTCTGGGTGTTCAGCAGAGGGTAATTCTATATTGTGGCTGCAGGGTAGCTATACACAGCATACATGGTACAAAGTGGAGGGGGAAATTAACTTCATATTCATTAACACCAAGAAGTTAAACAGATTTGGATTGCTCAACTTTGTTTTCTTTTTAGAATATACAGCTTATATCACTGACAGTGTTAATCTGATATTCTTGCTCTTGCCTGCTTTGATTGTTTTGATCTTAGAAGAACAATAGTAGATCAGACAGTGTAAAATCAGTCTGGTCTAAAAGAATTATAAGCAGGGGAGAAGGATTCAGTATACAAAAGAATGTACCAGATAGTCTTAATACTGCACTATACAGAGTTTGCTTGTTATGAAGTGAATAGAGAAAAAAATGCCACCACCCAGATTTTGTAGTTTTCCACCAAGTTCCAATAAGAACCGTGATACACGGGACAATAACTTATTATTCGCCATAGTAATTTGTTGAAGAGCTATGAACTTAAGACATTCTGGGCAGAGCACAAAGAACGGAAAATTTTAGCTAAATGAAATAATGATCTTCTTTCACACAGCGTACTGTGAACACTTCTGTAACAACTTGAGAAACTCGTTGCTGTGAATTTAACCAGTCTGGGGACCAGGCGTGTGTAATGGGATGTGCAGGCCTCACATGAGTCATACAAGAATTGGTAGGCTGCTGGAAGCATAATCAGCTGTGCAGATTTCAGGCTTCTATAAAAGTTTAAAAGGGAGAGTCCCATTCAGCTGACAGCTGGTGGGAGGGAGAGAACACAGCTTGCTGTACTTGCTGTGCAAATGTAAACTTCTTACTAGAGACTTCCCACGGGAAGGAGGCTCTAAAGTGGAAGGACCGCCTTCTTTGCCTGGATTAACCCCAGCTTTTCCAAATAGCAGTGGGCTGAAAATATCTGCTTATCTCAGGCCCTGCAGAATGCTAAAGCAGCAAATGTAGGATATGCAGTGCAGTAAAGAATGGACCCATGGAGCTTCACATAGCATTTCTACACAATTTCCATACACTTAAGGAGCCAAGCTCTACCCCAATAAGCAGACCTGCGTCTGAAAATGAGGGCTGGATGCAATCTCTGGACAGCATTCTATCATGTGGTGCACTTGTAGCCTTTGTTTTCAGCTTAAATTTCAGGTATGCCAGAATAACTGGAATGACTGTTAGCCACCCAAAGGGTTAGATCACCTGAAGACCTGCTTTCAGGGCTGGCAAATCTCAGACACAACAATGACAACGGTTCTGTGAGCAACAAGAAAACTGAAGACTAGGACCTTCTGAACTACTGACTGTAAGCATATCATAGTAGGGCTGTAGCATTATCCTCTCTTGGACATCAAATAATCTACACAAGATCCAATAATTTTCTCTGTCTTTGGGGAAATCTCAGTGTGGCTTGTCTACTTTCCTGCAACTGCTTGAGAAGGATTTGCGTCTTTCCCTAGATAGCAGATCTTCTAGCCCTTTACTTTGGTTTTAAGTTTCGTCTCAGCCTTTCTCTCAGTGAAGGCAATAAAAATCAGTCTTCTCTGACCAGCTGCCTGTTTTCGTGGTAGGAGTTTGCAGTCTTTGAGGCTATGACTGCACATTAAATCTGGCTGTGGATGACGGTGTTACGAGTTTTTTGTGGGGGAAAGAAGGTGTAGACAGAGTGTGCTGGCACAAGCCCTGCTTTCCTGGAATTTCAGGCCTCTGCACAGGAAGCCTATGTAAGGTTGACATGTTGTAAAAACTGTCCGGCATAGATGTGCCTGCAAAACATTTTGACACCTGTATTTCTGGAGTGCTGTATTTGGCTTTAAGAACATAAGACAATCATCACTTCTGATATCTTAATTTTGTTACTTGGTTTAATATCTCTAAAGGGATTTAACTTTGCAGAGTGCAGATGCTCATAACTCAGAAATGGGCCTCTTGAAGATGATCTCAAACTACACAACTAAACTAACTTTTACATTTCTTAAACTCTCTGGAGGCCCATTTTAAGTGTGGGTCAAGTCCTGCAAGACAGTAAAGGTCTCCTGGAAGTTGTTCAGTTCTTTCTGAACTCACTGTCTTGAAGAAGAGTTAGATGAAACTGCTTTCTCATGCAAAGTTAACTAAGAAGCTTTGCCAAGATTTTGAGAGATACAAAGGGGATGTAGTGCTCATATGAACTAACTCCTGTGCGGCCAGGGTCACTGTTTCCCCCTTACAGCTCTTTTGGCTTGATAGATAAGCTTGGGTTGGCATAATTAACATATCTGTTCCAAATCTCGCCTTTGTGCACTTAGAAGGTTTCAGCTCCTTTTGCAGTACTTCTCTCATCCTGCATTCCTTATGCTGAAACTGCAACACTTATTCTTTTCTCTAGATTTTGGGTGTCTGGAGAAGGCTTCATTCAAAGGATTGAGCCTGTATTCTTCAAACTTGCAAACGTTCCTGACAAGCCTAAAAACAAGTGTAAGGATTTGGGGGCCACATATACATACAAATGAATTAGAAGCAATTCAAATGCATCATTTCCTCCTGCAGTTCAAGAAAAAATGGTCTTCTTGACTGAAAATATACAGTACCTGTAAGTTCTGCTGTTTAAAATGATGAAGCTCTCAGCATGATGTAATCATGTGCTTGTTTCTAAACTCAGCATTGATTTCCAGGCCAAAAGTTTTAGATGGATCCTGTAAACTCCACCCTTTCTAGGTCTTTACTAATCATTTACATTCTGCCATCAGTGGGGGGAGAGCATTTTCCTCTAAAGGCGATTAAATATTAAGAGTTGTTTTACATATCATACAGAATCTTTTCACTGGCAATGGTGAAGCATTTCAATTCCTGTATCACTTTACTTTGATAAGTGTTTAAAAATCTTTATAGTTTTCTGACTTAATATGTTTTAAAGAATTCCTAAACTATGAGATACATACACAAGCATCTTGTAGTAGAGTATACACATAGTATACAAGCTACTCTGAAGTGGAATAAGATTTGGCATAAAGCTAAAGATGTTTCTGATAGTGGCAGTATCAGCTGCTGTCATGGGCAATGATGGTACCTGGCAAAAAAATCCTCCCCTTCAGCTCAATTTTAATCCTGGATACAGAATCTTAGGACAGAATTTTGAACGAGTGGTTTCCTTAAAGACTGCAAAGGCCTTAGGTCTTACAGGCCATGATAAAATGTATTCTTAATTCTATGAGGACAAGTGTTTTATGGAAGCGTTTGGCTTTCACTTTAAATTCCTCCCATAAACAAAAGAACCACAGAATTACATTTGTAACTTCCTGCTCTTCTCCTACAATGTATCCTGTGGACACTTTTGATAATACAATAAAGCTACAGAGTAGGATTTTCCAGTCAGTTTCTTTTGCAATATTTAGTTTTAGAAACATATATATTAAATGAAACCAGTGGCATAGCAAAGCAATTCCTAAACATTTTACGCCTTTTAATTATAAACTGTCTGCTTCATGTAAACATCCCCCAACTCTTTCCCCCTGAAAATGAAAATCACTGTAAAAGGAAAAATAACCCATCCCCTCCTCCCTCCCAACTTTTTCTCCAGTTTCCAAAACAGCCTTGGAAAACAAGGACTGGAAAGAAGCTACTTCTGTTGTTCTGCACGTTAAACTGCTCCAAAATCGAGGAAGCAAGGAGTTTTTGATCTGAATGAGCTGACTGATATTACTGAAACTGATGAGATCAAATTATTCACAGCAGCATCTTTAAATTTTCAAAATAGCTCAAATGCATTTGAGCCTCTTTATAAATTGCCATACAGTTCACAGTTGGAGCTAAAACATTCTGTGTACAAACATCCTTTGTGTGTGTATATATATTGCTACCAAATTATGCAAAATAACTTCTAACTGCACAAGTTCATACAGGTTTCACTGAAATATTATATTTGAAAAACACATTAAAACATTCATTTGAAATTCTGTTAAAATCTCTTTTTAACCATGAGTTTGGATATCTGATTCCTTAATATGACAAACTCAGCGGAAGGTCAGCTTTCACTGAATTTTTACTTAAAGAATTGTAGGACTTAAACCTGGGAGTCCAACGTGTGACCTTTTGAGAGCTGCATTAATACAAAACTTTATTGATCAGATACGTCATTTACTTTATTTCTATAATCTGACAAACCTGAATTCTGACCCGATTAAGTGTGTGGAATATTTAAAAATATATTCTGTAATTAGCACGGGATTGCAGTTTTGTGAGCAGCTTGAAAAGATTACCGAAAGTGAGAGGAATCTGGTTGCCACTGCGGCAATGATGTTTTTGTCATCAGATGAGATAATTAATTGTCAGTCAGCCAAAGACTAAGTAAATATGCATGTAGTTGAAAAGTCTAAGCAAACAGAAGAACTGAATCTGTACATATTCCTACTGCTATGAACCTGTCTGTTCCAGACTGGTCATACCATTTCAGGAGTGAAACCAGCTGACAGTATAACCAGGTTTTCAGGCAGAGTTTGTGCTGTTGCAATCCTGAAGAGATATGATCAAGAACCTGCAACCTTGTTTGTGCTAGCTTTGCCAGCATTAACAAGGGGGTGACAAGTTCTCTGGTGTTACCTGAAAACTCTGAGAAGGGAGACTGGTATTTGCTAATCTAATTCACAAACACTGCAACCCATTCTGTTTCTTGGTATATTGCAACTATTCTTTTAGCTTTTAAAATAAAAAAATGTATGTCCTATAAAATGTACATCTAAGCAAATATATGAGATACAATCTGCAATGTCTTGGTATTCCAAATGCTTCTGTGATTAGATTATTAAGTTCTTAGTAAATTAAAATTTACCTACCAAATCTGGTTTCAGTCTGTACATCAAAGGAAGGGAATAAAGTATGGAGTACGCAGTTGTTACCACGGAGGAGATCCAAGATTGTCTAACCTCACGGCTTCTGGGAATGCGATCAAGGGTGAACTGGAAGAGAGCACGATAAAGCTGAATTGTTATTTTTCTAAGAATGTTTTTGTTCCTTCTATAGAGTTATTAGACCTGTCTGTGCCAACATTTTTTTAATTTTTAAGTCTAGTATGGAAATGTTTGGGTAGATGCCTTATTCAGTATTGTGCTTAGCACTCCTGGTGATGAGGTTAAACGAAATACTAGAACTATATATCAATTTTTTGAATCGTTTCTAATGTAACTTTAAAACATTCCTAACTTTAAAAACAATTCGGCTGGAGCAATTCGTGTGCTGTACGTTAACTTAGTGCCCCTCCTAGTGGCCACCGAGACACGTTCCCAGGTTTCAGAAGCCAAGGTCCAAATTAGGTGGCTCTTTTCTATTACTTGCTTTGATTCTACGTGGACTTACATTGTAGAAAATATAACAACGTTTCTCAATTAATGTCTGGTGCATGCTGTTAAGAATCTAACAGCAGATATCTCTGTCCTTTAAATGAGTACTCAGTCAATATTCAGAAGAATATGAAGATGCATACACAAAATGCAAAATATTTGCCTGAAGAAACAAGAATAACATCATTATAGAAAAAATAAGTTTAAGAAGTGTTTTTCCTTTGTTCTTTTTCTAGAAAAAGGTAAAGATCTTTCACTGTGTGTAACGGGTATCAAATTAACAAAATACAGATGTTTTCTGTTTTTCTGAGAACGCCGTGCACAAGCTAACTGTAGCCAGGCTAGTCAGGCTTCCTGTGCTCTTCTCAAGTGACATAGAGAAATCCCACTTAAAAATTATTGCTGCAGCAGAGGTCAGTCCTGACACCAATTAAATTTTTCATTGTTTAGATGAACAATAAATACATAAAGTATAATCCCAGTACACTCCCCAGTGATACTGGTATTGTTTAGGTCTGGACGTGGTCACTAACTCCCTTCACATGGGACACCAGATCACCACTGCTCTGGCAGAACTCATACTGAGAGTGAGAGACTCTAAACATTATTATAAGCACTCTCCATGTAAAACTTCCCATTTAATGCAAATGCAACATTTCTAAGTAGCAGAGCTTAGTCCTGGTGATTTCTGACCAAGAGTGTTACCAATAGCTACACATGAAATACAAACTACATATCAGTCTTGAATAGCAGTAGCTGTGACTTTATTACACACAGTGGAAAGAACTAAACACAAAACCTTACAAAGGCAGAATATTAAATTAACTTTCTTGACTGAAATCTTGTTTCACTGCAATAAAGTTTTTTAATTGTAATAATGGAAGGCATTAACAGATGTTACAGACTGGTTGTTTTGCTCTATTTGCAGGTGTTGAAACTGACTGCATTAGTTTGATGACAAAATACAGAAAAACAAACATGCCCCCTGCTCTCCATTCAACAGGATTCTCTCTTTTTTAAAGGTTTGGAACAGATCAGATGATAAAAAAAAATGCTCTTAAGTGGAGTTTAGACTTTTGTGTGGTATTACATCCTGTAATAAATATGTATGATAAGGTAGTTTTAGGCAGAGTGGAACTATTCAGATGCTCCCTTTCACAGTAAGAATGGTGTTAAATAATGTTTGCCAAAGACCTGTATGTAATTTTCTTCATGATAAGAAACCAATTTCAGCAAAATTTGGAAGGGACCCCAAATAGTATCAAAGTAGCAATTTACATGTAGCATTCAAGTAAACATCAAGCTGATTTCATCTGTATTATTCAAAATATACTTCTGAAACTTTTCATTCTGTGGTCTATATTACATGTTGGAACTTCAGCCCATGTATCAGTCAATTAATGAATATTAAGCTGGGGAAAAAAAAAAAAACAGAATTTTGTTTAAAAGCTACTGCCAGGTGTTTCTGCAACCCCAGTCTCTCATCTAATGGAACACTGTTAGTATTCTGAACAAAGACCTCTCCTGCATCTTTTGCTGGAAAACTGCAGTGTGTATGCAGTATCAGACATAGACAAGCTGTGCTCCTATCTTCTGTGGTCTCATACTATTGCATTTATTTTTCAGCACTTCTGTAATGGAGTCAGAGACCTTGCTGTTGTTTGAGGACAAACATTCCAGACTGGCAATTCAACAATGGTTGATGGAGTACTGTAATTTTAAAACTAGTAATGTAGTCTTTACCTAATTAATAGTACTTTTTTGCAAGCATGCAGAGAAAGGTTGATGAAAAATCACCCCTGCTATAAATTATTACAGTATCCTCAACTGAACATTCCACAGACCTTCCAAATAACCTGGATTTATGCAGTCCTTTTTCATGCTGAGGAACAAGATTTCCTATCATGATAACTTTCATGAAACATGGGAACACCGAGTAGCATAAGTGATCAAATTGCATGAAGGTTAGTGAATCAGGCTCCTCTTCTCAGACATGATGAATGGGAGTATAAGATCCTGTGAAGAATGTGCATTCTTCAGTCAATATACCTAAGTTGTCTTTCTGCTGCTAGACTAGGTCATTGAGAGCTCAAGTATGTTCTCTGTGCTGAGTGCAGGAGGTAACCTGAGTATCAGCTGTGGGGGCAACCAAGTACAACAGCTGTGATTATGGGCTAAAGAGAAGAAAAAGGTAAGTGATAGTGGAACCAGAGATGTCATAAAGAGGCTTTTTTAATTTTCTTTTCCAAAAGATTTAGTGGGTAGAGGTGCAGCATTTTGTTTCTTGTAAGGAAGATGTTGCTTCTGGCTTCCTTTCCCTCTCCTTGAATTCTGTGGCTTTTAGAATTGGGATGAGCCATACATCAAAAAGAAAAATTGGTTATATTTGTGGGTCTTTCACACAGTAATTTGCTAAATGAATACACTGACTTTCTCTTCAATCATCATTATAACCTGTCTTCTGTTCAGTTCTTAGTTCTGGAAAATATACTTCCTGGACAAGAAGAGGAAGAGAATAACTGTAGATTGAAGCTGTCAGAGTCTTCCCCTTTGTAGACTCAAAACTACAAGAAGCCACTAACACATTATTTTTAAATGCATATGATGCATACGTATTCCAGCACTCAGTGCCAAAACATGTCTTGGCTGAGAGCATACTCTGAAAGTTAGCAAATACATGTGATAGGCATGTGACGTTTGCTTTCCAAATTCATCTTCTATTTTTGTTCTGAATGTTTTTCCTCAGTGGAAAAAGAATGGCCAAAATAAAGGGAGCATCTGCTGTGCAGACAGCAAACTCAGATGCGGCCAACTATGTTCCTCTGGCTTTCAGTGCTCAAGGAAAATATAACTACATGATGTGTTAGCAATTGGAGGGAGTCAGAACGTGAAGTTGCTTAGGAAAACTAAGTATACAAGTGGAAAAAATGCATAACCTTTTAAAACTCAAAATATTTTTAAGAAATATAATGACCTAGGTTTGGACATTTTTCAGGTAAGTGAATTGGGAGTTCAGCATTCACTCAGGTGATCAGTCAGAAAGCTACTGGCAGTAAGATGTATTACCTTCTTTTTAAACGCCTCTCTAACTAATGCTCAGTTTTAAAACCATACCAAATCACAGGTCAGAAACACACAAGAGGAATTCCAAGTAAGTTTTCTTTAGATAAAACATTTTAGAAAACACTTGTCTCAAAAATAATTTCACCAAGGGAAAAGGCCAAACTGAAAAACACAAAAAACAGCAAACCACCATATTTCTGTCTCCATACTTTTATAGCTACAAGCAACACGTCTAACTCATTTACAAAACCAAAAGAAACTTATTCTTAGTGTGCTTTTCTTAAGCAGTAGATTCCCTTCTTTCTATAGTTACTTTCATTACAATTACACTTCCCCATTGTTTTTTTATTAATTATAACACTGACCAGGGGTAAAGATCATTTCAAAACTAAGAAAGGTGGAAGTAAATGGCATTTGTTATTTTCAGGTATTTTGCATTTTCAGGGTCTATCTAGCTCAGCATTAATCAACTGTGTTTATTTGGCTCACTTTTAGCAACATAAGAAATAGTATATACAGAATGGCACTTCAGCTGAACTTTAGTAGCAGTGATTATCAATCACTAGAAAATCAAAAGCACGTGCTGATCTTAAAAATAACCTTTTAAAGAACTGCTTCCAAATTGTCTTGAATTAGAATGTCACATTAAGATCAAATTATCTTACAAGAATATACTTAACAATTTACCTGGGAATTGGAGAACCTTTCAGCCCTTTCTTGTTCGAAAGAACGTATTTTAGCTTCACTCATCTTATCAGAGTCTGCAAGAATATAACATCTAGGAGAGTATGACTCTGACAAACAACTAAGCAACCTCAGGATTTCTGTTGTGTGCCCTCCTGCAAAAACGAAATATGCTGCTGTTAGTAAAAGAAATATTTTGTAATTTTCAATTTTTTAGCTGAATTAGTCACTTTTGCTTTTAAAGCTTATTAGTACTAATAACATTGGTAACACTCTTCTAACATGAGAAGATTCAATTAAAGGATGATTGAGTAACACGAAGGCAATTCAGCTCCCAGTGCAGCTAAACTGATAGAAGTGTTTCAGCTAAATGAGATCACACAGAAATGAGACGTTTAATGTTCTGTACATGATGCAAAATTAATTTGCAGTTGCACTGCAGTCCATATTCAAAAACCACACCCTAGTGCGACTGTCCAAATAAAAATGCATGAGAGCCCACTCGTGGCTGTGCTGTAGAGCAAACACTCTCACTGAGCACAGGCAGAATTCAGGGACTGTGCTATCCCAGCTCGTAATGTTGAAAACATGCTGGCAATGATTTCTGAAGCTAAGCCAGGGTAAAAGCTGGGACACAAACAGTCTGGCCCCAGCCACAGGCTTCACCTACTGCCCTTGAATGGGTGTTGACAACCTTCTAACTGCAAGGTCACTTTGTTCAGGGAGCTGAGCTGGCAGTAAACCAAAGAGAAGGGGAGACCATACTCTTGCTATGGTGTAGGGCTGATCTTTTTGTTAGTTTGGTTTCCAGAACTGAAGCCATGTGAATAACCAACCATAACAGTGAAGTGGGGAGGGGGTCACCCAGGGATCAGTTTGGCTGGATCAGAACATCAAGCCCTGAAATATGTGCATGGCCATTTATTGGGTCTGTTACCTTTGATTCTGCTGGAAGCTGCAGACCAAAATAATGAACTGAACATATTCCTGCTATCTCAGATTGTGTTTCATCAGCCTCCTAAGAGACCTTTGCTGTCAGAGACAGGTGTTCTTAGCTGGCAAACATCTGACCAGCACGGAGCCACGCTGCTGGGCTGGCACAGGAATTTGGCACCTTCCTGCGTGATCTATGCAGTGTTTTACAAACACAGGAGGGCTTTTCACTTGACCAACGGCTTACTGAAGCCTTCAATTTCAGTGCAACCTTCCAAGTACTTCCAAGAGCAGGAGACTCTGAGTTCAAAAAAGCCTTGAACGATTGAAGATGACATAATGTTGGTCAGTATTCTGGCAGCAGCACGACGGCAGGGTTCATTCCTCACCGCCAGTGAAACGCACGCAGTGCTGAGGTGATGAGCCCGGGGCTGCTCTGGCCACGTCCGCTGCCAGTTTTCAGGGAAGTCTAACCTGTTGGAGGCAACTGTCCAGCTTCCCGGGGGAGGTAATCGAGGAGTACCCGTAGAGCTCAAGAGGCGAAAGCCGGGCCGGGATGGGGTCCGTCGGCCTCTCCTCACAGCGGCGCACCGCGACTACAGCTCCCGGCGTGCACCGCGGCATAACGCCAGCTCCGCGTTGGGCCTCGCGCCGCGCTGCGTGCCGGGAGCCGTAGTTCCCGCGCCCGCCGCGAGCTCCGCGAGCAGCGCCTCACTCACCGGAACCGGCTACCACCAGCAGCCTGAGGGGGGCCGTCCGCCGGCCGCGGCGTCTCCTCGCCAGGAGCGCCCAGGGGACGAGCAGCAAGGGCAGCAGCAGGAGGAGGAAGGCAGCGGTGCCGCCCGGCGGCGTGAACGAAGGCTGCATGGCGCGTCCCGAGCGCCCGCCGCCCCGCGAGGAAGCGCCTCCCGGCAGACGGCGGCCGGCGCGGCCCAAACCTCCCCGCGGCCGCACGAGAGCCGGGGGACGGCGGGGCGCCGAGGCGGAGCGGAGCCGGGTGCCGGCGGGGGCGGCGCTGTGCGGGCGGCGGGGGCTGACCCGGCGCTGCCGGACAGCGGGAGCGGACAGCGATGAGCGCAGCCCCGCGCCCGTCCTCGGCGTGCGCCGCGCTCTCGCCTGCGTGCATCGGGAGCCACGCACCGCTGCCCGTCCTCTGGCGCCGCACGGAGCGCAGGCCGGCACGCAGGAGCGAGCTCTGCCCAGGTATGTATGCGCGTAGCGATGCGCGGAGTAGGAATAGTGACGCTTTGCTGCCGCTCAGTTCTCGCTTTGATTTGCTCTAATGCTTCAGCCCCGTATTTCTGTACGAAGCCTGCGGCACCAGGTCCGCGTTCTTCCCATCGCTGCAGCGTCCAGCTTTGTGCGGGCGGCTGAGCGCGGCGCTGAGCTCGGGCGAGGGGTGCTGTTTCTGACAGAGCGAGGGTTGCTTGGTGATTAGGGAGGAGGGACCTCCGTCAGAGCTGTCCTTCAGCCTCGCAGGTAGGATCAGCGCGCTCCAGAACTTCTTGGAGCGCTCCGACACCGCGGCTTTGTGGGTGGCGTGTCAGCCACGTGCCGGTAGCTGCTGCGTGCGCCCACCTCGCGTGCACCGACACGGGAGGTCCGACGCTGCAGTTTTAGCCTTGGAAGCTGGACGGTTCTCTGTCACTTGTCACAAAAGCGTGTGCCAGCCGTGGGCTCGAGTAACTGCTGCGTCATTTACAAATAAGGTGTGCGCTTCCCAGCTACCATCCGCCGGCTTAGAAGCCGAGTGAATCCTCCTGATTCATGGCCGGCAGTTCTTCATGTTGTGTGTTGTCCTTTCTTACATCAGCGCAACGTGTAATTAGGCAGTTGACTGAAGCAGACTATTAAAAGTATTGCCGTAGCACGGTCTTTCGCTCAAATGAGTAACTTGCTTGTAGACAGCCTCACAAAAGCAATTGCTACTTAATCATCGCTGACGTTTGGAAACAGCAAGGCTTTAATTAATAGTTCTGTTGAGGATGTATAAATCTCAAAAATTATTTTTGCTTTCCACTTAATTAGCTTCATAAAACTAATGATTAGGAACAATGGAGATACATGACCTTAAATTACAGAAGAAAGGAAGAAAGCAATGGGGGCCTCTTTTGGAAAACAACTACTATGTTAAAACGAGTTAGCAAGTTGTACAGGCAATTTTAATCCTGTTTTTGTCTGTTTTGGTATCTTTCTCTTATGCTTGTTCAGTGAAAAGCATATAGATAGCAACTGTTTTTATTTAATAATTTCTTTTTCCAGAGCTTTTCTTACAGCTTCCCTTTACTCTATTTTTTTTTTTTCCCTAAGTTCTAAGGAGCTGCCTTTGTTGGGCTTTGTATTCAGAAAAACAATCTTGAACTCTTAGCAGCAGAGAGTAATATGGAAAACTTGAACTTTTTTTCATCTTTTTGTATTATTTCCCCTGTATATGTATACTTCTTTCTATGCTGAATACCTCTGTGTGGATGTTTTGGTGGAATTCATTAAAAAATGTTCTAGGCCTGGTAAAATTGGAAGATTGATTTATTTATTTGGTTGGTTGAGCAAGTTGTTTAGAAACAAGAGGAAAAGGTAAGAGTGATACATACCTGTTCCTTGGGGTAGGAAACTGAGGATCTGATGATTGCTTGGATACAAAGCAAAGATGCTGAGTTTCAGGGAGTCTAGAAAGGTAACCATAAGCTCCTAGGACAAGTGCTGAAAGACTTAGTCATTGGGAATTCTGCTTGAATATCAGATATAGCTTTCAAGTAGCATAGGCAACCAATTGCAAAGCTTGAGGAAAGAGTAAGAGTTCGGTGAGGCTAGTTAAAATAACTGTTTAAAGACCAAGCAGGCAATCTGCAACCTGTAAACCTAAAGCTTTCAGATGTTTTATTACTTTTATTCTTTTTGAAAGCTGAGTAGAGTGAGCCTGTAAAGATATCATCTGCAGTGTAACACTGCTAATTATGTCTTTTGTTTTTCAGTAGGACTTTTTTTTTTTTTTTCCCAGCGCGTTTGCGTTCTTTCATATTGCAGCAGCTCCCTGCTTACAGTCAGTATCCTGGCGCAGGGAAATAGCAGGCTCAGTCCTATAGGAGTTAAGTAGCTCAATAGATGGAGGGGCAGGTTGCTCTCCATTTGGCTGTGTTGCACACGCAGTCATCACTTCCCACCTGTCCAGATGCCTTGAGGATGCTTTGTCTCAGGATCAGGATATGCATGTGAAAGTTAATAACAGAAAGCAGCAGCTCTCCTGAAGATTAGCACGTTGTGGTCACGTTGACTAAATGATGTGAAGCAGGTGAGGTATGGGATTTTACAAGGAAGACCACAGTTAGTGACAGACAACAGTTTTCAAGTCTGTAAAATGAAAAATGCTGCCACTGAATGCAGAACCTATTTGTGTGAGAGAAGCAGTATCGTCACCCTGAAATAATTAGTCAGAAAGTGATGTCAGTGCAGTAATTGCAAAGGCTCTTTCTGGTACTTCTGATGCATATGTGGAAAGTGCCTTTGAACTTTGTCACTGAAGGAGAAATTATCCACTTTCCTTCTGTGTAACTGATTGCTGTTATCCAAAAGAAAACTTTGAAACTCACAGATAGGAAAAAATAGATTTTAAAATAATGGTATTGCATTTTTTTCCCCTATTTACTATTGTATAAAGAAAAACATGCTGCTGTCCTTTTTGTGTGTGAATATTCTCTGTGGAATATTCTTACTGATCATCTGGTGCATGTCTCCAAGAAACTCTTTTCCTCCAACTAAAGTACACCTTGTGTTCATGCTTTCTTAACTGGCACTTTGATTGCTTCATTTCTCCTTCTAATGATAAGTTCTAGAAGTAGGCATAAAAAGTATAATGAATATAAAATTAATTAAAAAAAATACGAAAACAAGTACTTGTGTTGTTCAGATAATATTTTGCTTTTGGTGCCTTCCTAGATAAATATTTTCTAAATTCCTTGTCCATTTGATGAGTTTTTTTCAGGTTGTTCAGTCTGCGATTTTTACTCCAAAGTAACTTACAGGTAGGGTAAGAAGATGAAGTGATTCTGGACAAAATCTCCATACAGCATTCCTAGAGTTTAATGATATTATATTACAACAAAAATTCTTAGACTAGAAGGCTTGTTCAGGAGATTCCTGCCAGTCCCAGGGGATGTGCCCCGCACATACTTCTTGCACTTACTTTCCTAAATGTGGTCATTTTGCTGTGTTTTGACTGAGAATGCAGCTCCACAAACATCTCCAGCAGCACAACTGGAGGGTAAGCTACCAAAACAGCTTGAGGTTGGGTGAGGAAAAGGGCAGGAACCTGTGAGCCAGGCTTTGCCACTGGAAAGATTGCCCTATGGAACAGTTTATGATGTTAAACCTCAGTCATGTTATGTATCTAAATATTCTCCGTTTCTGCAGGATAATTTTGTATGTGAAGGGCTTTGGAAGACAAAATGTTATATAAGCAAACAATTTCTGCAGAAAACTTATTTTTTTTTACGTGCTTCCAGTGTTACTTAGAAACTTGAAGAGAAGTGATATGTTCTCTGTGTTCTCTATGTTCTCTGATTAGAGAAAAAACTTCTGACTGGGTTCCTAATCAATCATTTCTCATGCTAGAACTGTAGAGCTGTGTCTGGAAGATTTTAGAACAATACCAGCGTCATGAATGTTGTGACAAATTCTGCTGTTGGGAACAGAAGGGACTGTTAAGGTTGTGAACTAGGGTGCTGTGCACCGGCTAGGGACAAGGTGGAGCAGGGAGCTGGTCAATGTCCAAGTGAGAGGTGACCTCATGTAATGGCAGCACCAGGGTGTATCAGAGTCAGTCTGGCAAAATACATCCCTTTTAGCTGCAGTTACTTTCAATTACTTTGTTTGGACTAAGTTTACTTTTACTTTTTTTTGTGAGTCAGAAACTTAAAAAGATGCTATCACTGCAATTATAGTAATGCAATCTTAGGAGCCCTGATTAGTATTTGGGATCAATAACATCTGTAATATTTATGTTTGCATTACAGTTAGTGCTGTGCTTCCTGGCATAACAACATTTCTCATATATATTTAAGATGGTTCTCATTTGTTTAAACACAAAGAAAAAACATATGCAAACACTTGAACAATGCTTGACCCTGCTGCTGAAAAGCTGGAACAAAATCTCTCAAATAATGAGATTAATTCTCTGTTAAAATTGTCTTCTTTCTCCCATTCACATCTGCCATTCTTTCCATTTCAATTTCCAGTAGCATGCTCTGGTGTCTAATGCTGCCGTAGGTGGTGGACAACAAAGTGGTTGTTAGCTTACAGCTAAATAAGGAAGGTATCCTTCTCTCCAGCTGCCTGCAGATCTTACATTTCTTTAGAAATATCCAGATTTCCCTTTCTGGCTGTGACAAGTCTTTGTATGAGGTCTGTGGGAATTGGCGGGGAGGAAAGAGGCTGCTTATGGAAGTCTCTCTGGGCCAAAGTACCACCTATGAATTTGCAATCTAAGTAGCAACTTGTAGGGAAAAGGTTTTTCTGTGCTAGGCACGAGGTATGCTGCTACCAGATGTCCCCTCAGCCCCATCTGACAATGGACCAGTGAGCTGCTCCCATCGTGCCAATGACCCCACATTTGGTAGCTGCGTGGATGTGTTCTGAGTGTGGTTTTAGGAAGCATGAACATTCATGGCATACAGCACCAAAAGTGCATACTGTAGCTTGCCCTGATTACTGGGTAGTACGCTTAGGGAGCGGTCCTGCAACATAATGTAAACTCGTATTCTTTGATCTGTTCCAAGTGTTGGGAGAAAGAGGCTATTGTTTCACAGCTCAGAAGTACTGAGCAGCCTGGAGGTCACTGGGTGCCTCTTGCTGCTCAGCCTGGGTAAATAAGCACCCTCATCCCCCACCCCCCTTTCTTCCTTGTGTATATTTATATTCCTAAAAATAAGTATGGGGTCTGAT